TACTTCAGCCAAGTAACTGCTACCAATGTGACTGGTTGGATAGAAGTCTCCTCTTTCTCTCTAGCTCTAAACAGTACTACTTATATAGAGCTGCAAGCGGAAACAATTTCTGACAAAGTACCACGTGATACCCCCTTTTCATTTATTTAATTTTTATTTTATTTGTGGGTTGCCACTTTGAACCCCTTAACTTCAAAGACATTATCTTCTGGCCATAAGAAGCTAACACTTAACTGATAATATCTAAGGCCCCACTTCATGTGTCTTCAGCCAGTTGTATGGGGCACTTATTGTGTCACAGTGAGTTAAATAACAGGGTAGACTGAGCTCTCCAGCCTTGCGTGGTAACCAAAAAAGTGAATCCTAAATTGTGGTGAAAGCAATGAAAATCCATTTCACTATTTTTTCAAAGAATGAATGGTAATTGAGAGATAAAGAAAAAGAAGCTGAGAGCCATGAATGTCTATAACCTAAAGACACCAATGTGACAATTTAAAAAAGAAAAAAAAATTGTAATTAGACTTAGATGGTGATGTCTAACGGTAACTAACAAAAACATAACTGGTATTAGATAGGTACCTCCAATAATTCACTGAAAAAGAGCATAGCATGACAAAAAAGGTTCCAAACTTAATAAAAACAGCTTTATCATCAAAATGTTTGTTATTAATAAGAGGAAAGAACAAAGTATTTTTAATTTTTTTTTTTTTTTTTTTTAAAGAATATTTTATTCCTTTCTAACATGTTTGAAATTTTTGTTAAATTTTTTTTTTTTTTTTTTATGCATCAATGGTGTGCATCAACTGGTAATAGAAATTTTTGCACCTTCTTTTCTGGCAAAAAGACAATTTTGAAAGTCTTGCAAAAATCAAATAAGTGTCAGATTTTAACGAAACTTTCAGAACTTATTCATAAATGAATTAAATTTTTTTTTTTTTTTTTTTTAGAAAATCTTGGCAATTTTTTTTATCTTCTTACACACCATAGTATTTTGCTTACTGGAAATAGTAAATTTAATCATTTTTAAAAATTCATTTTAAACCTTACATATCAAAAATTAGTGGAGGCACCTATATTAGATCAAGGTTCAAATGTTCAAGGTGACAATATATTAATTTTCTTTACCAAAACTTAAAAAGTAATCTTATAGTCTAATAGATAACTATAAGAAATACAGATGCCATTGAGTTCAGCTATCCAAGGTCATGTTTTAATAAATTTAAATCAAAATAAATTAGGGACTTACATGATACCTAATGTTTAAAATGAATTTTTAATAATGAAAAATCTTTCTTGAAGCTTTTATTTTAGTTTTAATTTCAAGCGGAGAGATTGAATTTAATATTTCCAATAAACAAAATACTTTGCAGTATTTCAAAACTAATTCAAATTGATTGGAAGAAATAGTTTTAAAATTTCTAAAAACTTTTGAATTTGACTCCATTTTTAGCAAAGTGTTGTAAAAGTGTAAATTAAATATCTTTATTTAAAAAATCATCCAAAAATAAAGTATACTTTTCTGAAACATTATTTAAGGAATATTAGCCGATTTAAAGTATAATTAATCTGATTTGAAACAGCTATTATTTTTTTTTAAGTTTAAAATATCAGAAAAATGCATTTTTCAACTCGATGGTGGCTTGTTTATTTATGTTGACAGGTTTTTAACGCCACCATAACAGATAGATTATGTAATGTTTTTCTGCGGAGGCTTTAACCTTAAAAAAAATAATTTAGGAATATAATGTGAACACCTTTTAAATACTTTGTAATCTTATAATTTTAAGAAAACATTCTCCATAATCTAATGTTTTATTGAATTTTACAGAATTTTGGCTCTAAATTTACTATAGTTGTTGCTCTTCTGATAGTGTTGTGTATAGACAACCATACATATAAAAGTTGGTACGTTTTTACACATACAAAAACAATTCAAAAGTCTTAAAAATATTAGTGGATGTCAGGTTGTAATTAACTTTATGATATGATTAGTAAATATAGTTTTATTTACTAACAATCTCTCCTAAGAGTTACACCATTGAAATTGAATTTTAAGATTTAAATGTTATAAATTATCTGTAAAAAAAAAAAAAAAAAAAAAAAAAAAAAAATTTTGTAAATTCATTGAAAAAAATTTTCTTCAGATAATATTGTCCTTAATATATATATATATTCATAAAAGTAATTAAAAGCTTTCCTAATTAAATAATGTCTTAGTTCTATTGTGTTTTTTATTTTGATTCAGAGCAGGTTTTTTGCAAAAAAGATTTTTATGAAGATTTTCTAAAAAATTTCAGAAACAATTTCATTCATTTGTTAATAAGTCCTGAAGACTTCATTAAAATCCAACTAGTATGTGGTTTTTAAAATCCAACTATTATGTGATTTTTGGAAGAACTTTCAAATTAATGCATTTGTCAGCGCAAAAAAAAAATAAAATTTTCTATGCTAAAATATAGTACATCTGCTGACAAAAAAAAAAGATTTTTTTAAAGCAAAATTTTGGATGTTCTAAAAAGGAATGAAAAAAAATTTAAATATTAAAAAATACTTTGATCATTCCTCTTAACAATAACGTAAGGATTTTGATGATAAAACTGTTTTCATTACTGTTATGGCATACCTAGGGAGGATAATGGGTATGTCTCTATTCACATAAATACAGTAGTAAATACTGTATGTTGGTCTGCAGGTGGAGATTTATTGTGGAATTTGTAAGGTTTCAAATTGTTAATGTGTTAAATTTTATTTAAAAAAATTAAAACATGAGGGAGATATTTCTTATTACTATAAAGATTAATTTTAGGAGATACAAGTATTTGGGTTACTATCCCCACCCTTAAGCAGTGAAATTAATAACTGGCCTAGATGTAGAAATCCTATTAAAGAAAGAGTGTTGCCACCAACAGGAATTGAACCTGTATCCTCTTTTCCATCAGAGAAACTGCTTCTATAGGTGCCTTTACTCATTTGGCCATGGAAGCTGTGTTGATAGAGCAAGGTTTGACTTAATGAAACCTGTCCAATGTAGTTGGACTTGTCTTTTTTGCTCATTACAAGAATCATATAATTGTATGAAGTAACGAAATTGATAAACAACAAATTATTACTAGACCCTTTCCGCATGCCTTAGTATTACTATTACATAATGGAACAAACACAGGAAAACATTAACAACAAATCCTTTGAATGAATTGGCCAAAAGTGCTTGGAACAATAATCACTACAGACTGTTTTTATACTCTTCTAATTCTAATGCTCAGTGTCACTAAAGGAAGTTGGCAATCATGGGTCTCCAAAATTTCCTGTTAGAGTTTCCCTTTTATGGCGACTAAGAACATAAGAAAAACTGAAGAAGAAGAGAAAAAAAAAAAAAAAAAGAAAGAAAAGTTTTTGTTTGTCACATTCAAAGAAACATGTATAAAAGAAGGATTGCTGCCCAAATATACAATATCTGTCACATAAATAACATTTATAATTGATTTCCAAACACTTTTCAATCTTAAAAAAAAGTGTCATTTGAGGCATATCAATGTATCAAGTTGCGTAAAAAAAACCCCAAAAAACTTCCAGATTTCCCTAACATCAAACCAATATCCCCCAATTTCTAGACTGGCTGTAAATCCTAACTCTCCAGCTTTCCTTTGGTATTTATTGCATTCAAGAAAAAAGTCAAATGGAACTTTATTTGGCTTATAGGAGTATAGGTGTTTTCCATGACACCCAACTAAGTGAGAACTTGAGCAAATTAGTCTCTCTCTTACTTGCCTAGAAAATAATATCAGGGAAGGAAAAAAAAAAAAAAAAAATTAAACAAACATAGCTGTTACCTTGACAATGGCCAACATCTTGCATCCATAGCTGGAGTTTATATGAGACTGCATTTAAAAATCTTTCTGTTCAACACTTCTTTCCAAATCATTAGAAGGATTAAATGGATACCTTGTATTTATAGAGATGAAAAGTTACAGGTTTCATTGGCAGTCAAAATGCAACCACAATTTGGTAAGCAATATTTAGAGAAAAATTTTTGTTTTTTTACATTGATGATTCATCCAAATTCACAAATTAGTCTATTTTAACATTGAAGTAGGAACCTCATTATCAGTAGCAGACAGGTCCCCCTTCAGATAATATTGAGTCATCTATACTAGGTGTGCTCAAAATTTTCAGAAATTAATGAACACCTTATTTTCGAAACAATTAAAATTTCTAATTCTTCCTAATGCAACATGTTGCCATCAATTTGGAATATTTTGGTAAGTGGGTGGGGGAGAAAACTTACATTATTGAAATAGTCTTCTGATGATTCAGAAGTTGGATGGCTTTGAAAACATTTAAAAAGATTCTTCCCCCACCCCCAAATACCATCACATTATTATTAATCACATATTTGTCTTATTTTGTTTATCTTTTATTTTGATTATATATTTCCCAAAATAGTTTTCAGTTTAAGAAATGTCTTGAACACACAAAACATGTTAATTGGGCTAAAAAATTGGATAAATGAAGCTAGGGTTAGCAATTTTGTGAATGGTGAGGTCATACTATATTTTGATTTTTAAATCAAAATCATTTATGAGGTTTTGTTCCGAGATAATCAGGTGACTAGTATATCAAATAGGGATATTTTGCTGATTGTCTAGTAACCATCACACCAATGCTAATCAAGCCCAATCATTGGAGTACAAAACATGGGGAGTTTTTTTTTTGGGGGGGTACCGTATTTTGATTGATATATTGATTCATTTTCTTATCAACCTTTTGCAGGTTATTTAAAACCAGAATTTTTTTTTTTTTTTTTTTTTAGATAAGAATTTTTTCTTTTGAGATAATTAGTAAGACTAAATGATTAAGCCATAGCTGGAGTGGGGAGAAGTGGACCTTTCCCAAAGATATTTTGCACATAAGTGAATATAACAAACTCGACTGGAATTGGAACTCGACTCTTCAATTAATAATTCTGAGCTATTATCCATTATACTGCCCGCCCATTCAAGCTTGCTGCATTTGGTATTCCCAAGTGGCCACCCATTTAGGTACTGCCCAGGCTCAATGTTGCTTAACTTCGGTGATCATATGTGAATTTGGTATTTTCAATGTGATATGGCTATAAGCCGTGCCTTATTTGGTGGCACATACATTACTTATTGTTGTGGCCTGTTTAGGGGTCAGAAAGAAAGACATGGAAGATGAAGGTAGGTTAAACAAGTGTATTGAAAATAACAGATATATATACAAAGCAAGAGTGTTAGTAATAAGCAGTTAGAAGTGTACGTCCAAACGTTATGTTAACACTGCTTCCTGGCTGCTCACACGCAGAGTTAGTATTTATGAAAAGCGGAAGAGTTCATTTTACTGTAAATAGGTTACTACAACACTTATTAGATAAAATTTCTTTCAGAAACAAAGTTTAAATAAAAAAAAAAAAAAACAATTTCAAATATTGATTAGAAAATTAGAGAAAAAAAAAAAAAAAAAGTTGAAAATTTATTCAGGTAAATGCATTTACATTCTTCAACCTGGAATGCAAAAAAAAAAAAAAAAAAAAAAAAAAGACACCAACCCCCTAAGAGGATTGCTGCTGCAAACAAACATGGCATAAATAAGAGAAGTGAGAAGAAATATGATTGTGTATAAAGATAATTCCTGTCTGAATTTCTGGAATGAATAATTATTATTTACACCTGGTTCTGTACCTATTACTTCACTAATGTCAAGATGACCAATTTTCAAATTTAAATTGTTTATCCATTTAAAGTACTACATTTATGAGAAAATATATTCAGTTTAAATACTGATGCAATAAAAATGACTTCAAGGGGTCACATGTTTCAGCTTAATGTCTTTTCCTCATACCTGGGGGTTATCTGGTTCACACTCCTACCTGGTCTTTTGAACAGGAGTAGAGGTCTATCCCTTGATTCCTGTTTAGGATTGGGTTACCAGTTTTTTTTTCTAAAGTTTACTTCAATGCATTTCTTTAGTAAAATCATTAGCAATGAATTTACATAATAGATATCTTCTCTCAATATGGTTTGCCATAATTTCTGACCACTTGTTCCCTGATACTCCTCCCCACTCTTTTGAACAGGAGTAGAGGTTTATCCCTTGTTTTCTGGTTAGGATTGGATTTCTAGTTCCTTCTAAAATCTTTTTCTTCTCTTTCACTCCTGGTGGCCCCTTGCGTCTTGGCGATATTATCACCTTGCTTGGGGGTGGTGTCTTACTCTGTAACCTAACTCAAGTGGCTCTTGGGCACTGTACAGGGTGAACATCACTTAAAAAAAAAAAAAAAAAAAAAAAAAAAATTAGATTGCCAGAAAAAAAAGGAAATTGACCTCACAACACCGATGTCCATTTCATTTTCATTCAAATTGCATGTGCAATGTGCATATATATTTTAATTCAATGATAGACTGAAAAATATTTTTTTACAAAATTTACACTATTTACTTGCAGACTATTGTAAATAACTCCTCATCCTAGTAATTCAGAATTAAATTATTTCTACTAAATTTTAAATATTTTAAAATTCTGTTACCAAATAATTTTCAAACAGTTCAATAAAATTTAATGGATTTTTTTTTTTAAATTTAAAAAAAATAAAATGTTCTTTTTCTTCCCCTCTTGCTTCAAAATTTCATGATTTTGTTGCTCAGTACAGGGCAGGGGTTGTCCAAACTAAGCAGATGTGGGAATTATTCCATTGTCTTATTTTAAATGCATGCACAACATAAACATATATATTGTAGCAATTTTCCAGGCGTAGCTTAGATGTGGCACATGGCCGAAAGTATGGGGCACCCAATGAGGATTGAACTCACTACTCATTCGTAATTGTGCTAGCGAGACAAGCTTGCTAACCATTACACCAGCCTCAGGGTGTCCACATGTATATGTAGATGAAAAATTCAGATGCAGATAGTGTATGATGGACAGGCAGAGAATCAATTCTTATAATATAAATTATTTACAGTCAGACAAATATCCTTATCTTCATTGTTATAATTGTATCATTTCAGCTGTTGTGCCTCTGAATTCTTAAGGTGTCCGTCAATCTGAGTAACCTTCAAGGAATTCTGTGCTAAATGCTTTATTCAATCTACAGGGGTAGATTGTTCTCAGTCAGCTTAACATATCTAAGACTATGTTAGGTTATTTAATTGTTCAGTTATTGTTTGCAGTTTTTCCGAGTATTTGTACTTCTCCATCTCAGAGACTGAATCTTATTATCATCATCACTGAATTCACAAACCAAAACTTTAATCCTCAAGGCCATTATACCTGAAAAAGGCATGGTCGGGGTGAGCAAAATAGCCAAAACATTGATCAGAACAAAGATGGGCCCTACTTAAGTAAACTGATCTACTTATATAAAAAAAAAAAAAAAAAAAAAAAATGGGGTAATTTTTTGGGATTCACATTTCTTTAGACTAACCTCTGACACTTGCCAGATTAAAAACATTGATTTGTTAACATTTTAGAAAGGGGGGGGTCCTGTTCATGATACCAATACAATGTAAAATTAATCCCTGACTTTTACATTTGGAACTGTAATTACGACATTGATATCTGTGTGCGAAAAAAAGAGAAAAAAAAAAGAGAAAAAAAGAGAAAAAAAAGAGAAAAAGAAAAAAAAAGAGAAAAAGAAAAAAGAAAAAAAAAGAGAAAAAGAAAAAAAAAAAAAAAAAAAAAAAAAAAAAAAATAAAAAAAAAAAAAAAAAAAAAAAAGAAAAAAAAAAAAAAAAAAAAAAAAAAAAAAAAAAAAAAAGAAAAAAAAAAAAAAAAAAAAAAAAAAAAAAAAAAAAAAAAAAAAAAAAAAAAAAAAAAAAAAAAAGAAAAAAAAAAAAAAAAAAAAAAAAAAAAAAAAAAAAAAAAAAAAAAAAAAAAAAAAAAAAGAAAAAAAAAAAAAGAAAAAAAAAAAAAAAAAAAAAAAAAAAAAGAAAAAAAAAAAAAAAAAAAAGAAAAAAAAGAAAAAAAAAAAAAAAAAAAAAAAAAAGAAAAAAGAGAAAAAAAAAAAAACAAGAGAAAAAAAGAAAAAAAAAGAGAAAAAAAGAAAAAAAAAGAGAAAAAAAGAAAAAAAAAGAGAAAAAAAGAAAAAAAAAGAGAAAAAAAGAAAAAAAAGAGAAAAAAAAAAGCAATTGTTTGGCAAAAGATTGAACAAAGATTTGTCATTAAAGAACAAACAAATGTATACATTTATAGAGCAGCGTCACATTTTTAATTAAAGAACAAAAATTTACATTATCCAAAAATAATATGCAGATAGCAATGATGAAGCAGATTTTCAAAGCATAACATTTGTAAAATAAAAAAAACTGAGGGAAGATAACTGACAAAGTCAGAGATTGATTTGATACCTAATATTAACAGGACCTTCCTAAATCGATTAAAAATATTGATTTGATACCTAATATTAACAGGACCTTCCTAAATCGATTAAAAATATTGATTTGATACCTAATATTAACAGGACCTTCCTAAATCGATTAAAAATATTGATTTGATACCTAATATTAACAGGACCTTCCTAAATTGATTAAAAATAAATATTTTTCAATTTTAACAAACATCACGGCTTGAAAATACTCAAAAGAATGCTAATCTACAAAAATTTTTTTTTTTTTTTTTTACAAGTACACTAGTCTAAGCAGTATTTTTTTAGTAAAAATATTTAATGTAAGAATTCAAACAACTTGATCATGGTACTTTAGCAAATACACAAAACAAAACTGCAGATTTAGTTGTCAAATGGTTAGCCTTCATGGACAAATTGGTTTGTGCAATGCCCAAGTTGGGCATACTCTTAGGACATGAAAGATAAGTTCAAATCTTATTAAGAGCTATTTCTTCAATTCCAAATTAGTTTCACACTTTAAGAGTATAGCAATCAGTGGGACGAGCAAGGAAGCAACAGCAATACAAGAAATTAATAAAAACAATAACAAAAATACTTAAACAGCCGAGAAGTGAAAAAGCTTAAGGCTAGTGCGGTTGCAAGACAGTAAACAAACAATATGGTATGAATAATTGGATGAAAAGTCAAATTTGGGCTCTGCCGCTATTACAAATTCTTGTCTTTGGGTGTTAAATTTCAAAAGTAAAAGAGGAAACGTTTTGCTTTGTGATTGAAATGGTTACCATATTTAACAAGATAAAAGACACTGCCATATTCGATGCACTTCCATTTCAAGTAAGCATATTCAGCTGAAGTTTTATTGTATTTAAGCATGTAATGTTTAAGTCAGGCTTTATAAGTGAACATTGCTTTGTGGCCTTAATGGTATTTTCCCCCCAAGTTAGTGTGTTACCATTACTGGTATTTTCTTTCAGTTAGGTCTCTTTTACAGTTATCAGCTAATTAATGGTATGAGCATGCAGAGACATTTAGGTAGGATGGACCAGCTGTTACCGATGAACACTTTAGGGGCTTTATTCCTTTAGGAAAGCAAGGAGACAGGACTAACCTTCAACTGTATGAAGGAAAAATGTAGAAGTGTAAGCAGAAAAAAAGCCAAAGATGTAAGATAGAAATTGGAGAGGTCAACATAAATACAGAAGTTTAAATATCTGAAGTTTTTTTTAACAGGGGATGGAAAATGTGACACCGAAATCTGAATGCACGTAAAATAGCAAAAGATGCCTTCCAAAAGCTAAGCAAAGTACTAAGAAACAGGAAAAATTTGTTAGAAACAACAAAAAGAGTGCTGAACTGCTATGTAATATCAATTCTTCCATATGGCAGTAAATGCCAGACAATTTCCTCAAAGATAAAGAAAACCGAGGGGGGGGGGTCAGAATGTGGTTCTACAGGAGGATGCTGAGAATATCATGGATGGAGTGTATAAGCAACAAAGGATACTTAAAATCAGAAAGAGAGGTGAATTTTCTTGGACACCTGGAGAAAGGGGAACTTGGAGAAATTACTTTATTTACATTCAGTTACCCAAATCAACAAGCACTTGAAAAAGGCCAGAGGGGACAATAGTTGAAATATTGTGATTGCAACAACAAAGACGAGGATATTAGACTGATTATAAATAATTTAAATAATTCATCCTCCCTGAAATTCACAGTGAAATTTTATTTTAGAAACATCAATCATTGATTA